CCGCTCCAACAGCCAAATTCAGGGGGTGACCTTGTGAAGTCAGAGGAGCTGGAACAAGCAAACTCCTTGAGTCTTGAAGGCCTGTATTTACAAACACTGACCTAGATCTGTCTTCAGCTATGCTGATTGTAAAACTGGAAGAATCTTACTGAAAAGGTGGCACTTTCTTCTGTAACACTCAGTGGTTTCTGAGCCACAGAAACGCCAGTAATTCTGATATTTGATAACCCTCGAACTATCGCTGATAGCGAAAGAGTGAGAGGTGGGTAGGGGTGACTACCTGACCGACCTCGGATGTCTGGACAGAAGAAACCTTTCAGCTAGCATTTAAGGAACAATAAGAGAGAAGGTGGAGGTCAGGAGGCAGCTGTCGGTCATCTCCCACCCGATGCCCTTTTCTCTGCTGCTATAACTGCGCTGGGAGGTTGTCATGTTTCCAGAGATGGGCTGTTTCCAGGTGTCAGTGGGACAAGGAAGAAGCACTCAGTGACCACCACAGGCAGAGATCCATGCTTCTCAGTCTAATTCAGAAGTTGCGTGAGGGTATTTTCTTTTTTTATCAGCTCCGAGTTCAGTACTCGAGAGCGAGCCCCACGTGCTGTGGGACAGGAGAGTGTGTGATCTCAGCCCACCCCCTCCTGCCTACAAGGGCAGTAGTGAAGTCGGTAGAAGGATTTATTTGGTGGAAAGGACCGGGATGGTCCTTTGTTACTTTGAAGTAACTGCTAATCCGTGTAACCACGGAAATTTTTGCAAAAGCTCCTCGGAGACCATGGGCGGACTGCTAGGTAAATACTCTGGGGGTGAGCTGCTGAAACTCCCCTCCCCAGACGCGGCCAGGCCTCCGCCGTGGGGAGGGCCCAGCACCACACAGGGCTGGGGTGGCGGTGGGGCTTCCTGCCAGGGCCCTGGGCCACGCCTGGCTGCCTTCGCCTGCGCCCTCTCCGCGGAGGGCACGGGATGCTCTTCTCAGAGACAGGCTCCACGACCAAACATTATTAACCTTGGAGCAGCCTGACACGTGGCTGCAGGGCACAGCTTGCCCGTGGGCTGGGCACCGTGAGGCGAGGGTGCAGGTGTTCATCGCTCAGGTAGGCCTGCGGAGTTCGGGGACCCAGCTGATTTATAGCAAAAAAGGACCTGCTTGTATGAGTATTAATTCTCTGTTAGGTCAGATCTTATGTGATGGCAGATCAGAAACACATCCACAAATCCACATTTTTTCCTTGAGCTTTTCTGTCTGTATCTATCTGTTATTCTTGTGTTGCATACCAAGAGTTGTAACCCTTTTCAGACCGAGCCTATTTTTATTGTTATGCAGAGCCCAGCACAACAACGCTTGGGTCCATAGTGATGTTGCTAGGCTGCCGTAACGATGCAGTAACACTTTGTTTTATTTTCCAGCAGGCCATGTCAGTTCGTCCAGATCTTTACCAGCACTATGTGCAGGCCTGCCAAAACTTGGGCCAACCTGAAAACCCCTTCATTGCTCGTGTGCTTCAAGAAGCCGATAAAAATGATAAAAGGTAAGGAAATAACAAACGGCATGTTTCAGATGCTTCTGAAAGCCTTAAACAAGATAGCAGGACAAGGAGTTAAACAATGAGAAAGTTCATGCAGTTTCAGGCTTAAACACAAATCATATTTAGCATTTACTGCTGAAGTTCTGGTTTGACTCATCTTGACAACATCTTGGCAGAAGTTTGCAGCTATATATCCCTTCTGGGCAGTTTTACAAGCAGTGAAATCAAAATAAGTGAAAAATGTACAGGATGGTGCCTTTGTGTCCCTTAGAGAAGCCAAACCCAGTGTCTAGTCATCCTAACTCCCTTTTGTCTCTCTCCTGTTTAAAAAGCCTCAGCTGCATCCAGTTAGCTTCCAGCTGGTAATGCTTCCCTGCACTGTCTCTGAATCCTGCCAAGGTATTAACCACTCAAACTCCCTCTCATTATGTGGTTAGGTAGGGCTTCCTCTCATGGGTGCTCCTGGGGTCAAAGTTAATTGTCCTTTGGAGAGAAAACCTGAGAAAATACAGCATAGGGAAAATGGTTTGTGTTAGGTTTTGATCCTGAGGGCAGGACAGAGTAAATGAAAGAAAGGGATACAAGTAAAAAGGAGATGATGAGGTAACCTCCAGGATAGTCTTTATTTCCATCTGCCTTCCCCTCGTCTTGCTGCTTCTTGCTTTTTATGCATGTGTGCTAAGCGTGGTCTTGCAGCTGTGCAGCGTCTTCAGAATATGAAAAAGGACAGTGCTGAGGTACAGCTTGAATTGTTTTGTCTGTCGTGGTGCTACCAAAGGTTGTGACAGCATCTAACTGCATGCAAATGCATCAGTGAGGGCAAGCATGGATATACTTCTTACCTAGAGAGAGAATTAATTTTTCTGTGTCACTTTACTTTTCCCCATGTGCTTACATTTTTATATTACAGCAGATGGACAAAAGGGATCACATTAAAAATAGCTGGAAATAATCATCTAGTGCCTGTGCAGAGGGTTACAGATGACGATCTTCAAGTTCTTGCCTCTGTCTTACGCAATACTGTATTTGCCACAGGTAAGCTTTTTTCACATATGCTTGACACTGCTCTGCTAATATGAGAAAATATAAGCAGTCTTGATTTCAGCCTTAGTTCGTCTTTATTTCTTTTTGTTTAGAGATCAATTATTTGTAGGTACGCATTTGTCACATTCTTCATTCTTCATCTTTTTCAGGTTTGGATCTTAGGTATAATGTATTGACTGATGCTGGAGCAAAGAACGTAGCAACATTCCTCCAGGTGCCAAAGTGATGTTTGTCTTTCAGCGACTTGTAATTTATTTGGCTATGATAATATTTATATGTGGTGTATTGGAGACAAGAATGCATTGGTTTGGCAAAATTCCATTAATTTTGATTTTCACATCCAAATCCATCCTACTAGAATCTCAGATCGTATTCTCTAAGGAGATTTTAAATTTCTGGTAGAAAATCATTGGACATTTGATTAGGGTGTCCTGAAGAAAGAATGATGGAATAAATTGTGGGGCTTTTATGCTTACAGCTCAATTCAACAAAGGAGGTAATGGTATTGTCAAGTGTGCTAAGGCCTTTGTTTTAGATACTTTATCATCTCTGTTAGCCTTTTTGTAGGCCTAAACATAGGAAACTTTAATGCTGCCTTTTTGTCATTGTAAGCACTGGAACACAGACAAAAAGTGGTGAGCTGCTACTCGGTGCCCATGTTCCTAGAGCTCAGGGAGTGCCATTAAGTTCACAAAATGCCTGAAGGCCTGCATCTGAGCTTGACCACCTGCCTCGTTTGGGCACGCTGAGCACGCAAATTCCTAGGTGGTTTCTGTAAGCCCCATGAGGACCTACACGCTACATGTTTTTCTGCCTTTCCCTCATCATCTGATGTATATTGGTATTCTTTAACTGCTTCTCCAAATCAGGGGCTGCCTGAAATGCAGTGAAGGACAGAGGTTTTAAGTACGTGTATGATGCATCTCCTTTTTTGAAAAATACAGGCAAGATCTGGAAAAAAGTCTCATTGCTTTCTGCTTTGTTTGTTCCTAAGGAAAACTCCACTCTGCGGTACCTTAACCTGATGTTTAATGAGATTGGCACAAGTGGAGCAGAGCTGATAGCAAGAGCACTCCATGTGAGTATTTGTCTGGGAGATTTAGACAATGGCATCTAGTTTGATATTTTTGCTTTTGATGAACAGTACTAGCTGTCCTGCCAGCATCAGAGCTGGCTGAAAGGGCCCTCTGTCTTCAGTCCATTCAGTATTTTGCTGTATCACAGGGATTGCTTGTTTTCCCAAGGCAGACTTCAGAAATCTGATTTCACACAAGAGAAAGTTGCACTGTGCTGCCATTAACACTTAATTATCACAACTGTCACAGCTGGATTTTCCTGTGTGAGAAATGCTATGCTATAGAATATATAATGCCATTAGTTTTTTCCTTTTTTTTTTTTAAAAAAATTGTACTAAATTTGCCTGTACCTTGATGTCAATATTTGTCTTGATTCAAGATGTCTAAGACATGTTTTCAAAACTTTGCCCTACAGCAGCAGCATAAAAACAAATTTGTTATTTTTAATGTGGTTTTCCAAGGAAATGAGGCTTGTGTATAAGATTTGTTGTTTGTGAAATGAGACTCACGTGAGCTTTCTTCCTCCTTCATAGTCTTTGAACTCTGAACTGATTTCAACTAAATTTGACAGACTTCCAAAACACTATGGTTGTAGCATAGATTGTACAACGCTGGGCTTGCAAGCAACCCCCAAAGCTATTTGTGCAGCCCCATGGCAGCGTTTGCTGGGTTTGCTGAGCAAGTGGGTGGCAGAACGTGATCACCAGCCCCTCAGCTGCGTGGGGTCCCACTGCCAAGCCAGGCAGGGGGGGATGCAGGGGAGAAGGGGGGTGTTATTGAGGGAGGGAGAGGGAGAGAGGTGCTGTAGCAAGGTACCGCAGCAGGGGAAAGGGTACTGGGGACATGTGGAAGACATAAAAGCTGTATGAAATGAGGCTTCATTAGTTCTGCTGCTCAGAGAAATACTTGTTTTGTAATCTCTTACTTAATCAACCATAATCTCTGGTAATGAGTGATTACGGTGGTACTGAGGAATTAAAAATACAAAACTACTCTGCATTGCATTTAGGGCTTTAACAGTTGAATAGCTACTTCATATCCATTGAAATTCTGTGGAGGGTGGGGGGAAAGATGCTGACTTTCCTAGACCTCTGATCAGAATTTTATATT